GATTTGATAAAATCCAACACCCTTTCATGATTAAAGCACTCAACAAAATAGGATTAGAGGGGAATTTCTTCAACATAGTAAAAAGTATCTATGAAAACCCAAGAGCCAACATTGTTCTTAATGGAGAGAGGTTAAAGGCATTCCCTTTAAGAACAGGAACTAGGCAAGGATGCCCACTATCACCTCTTTTATTCAACATTGTTTTGGAAGTCTTAGCAATAGCAATAAGACAAGAGAAGGGAATAAAAGGTATCCAAATAGGCAACGAGGAGGTAAAATTATCCCTCTATGCTGATGACATGATAGTATACTTAGAAAACCCTAAAGACTCAGCAAGAAAACTATTGGACGTAGTTGACCAATTCAGCAAAGTAGCAGGATACAAGATCAACATACAAAAATCAGTTGGCTTTCTCTACCGTGACAAAAAGAATACAGAGCCAGAACTAAGAGAAACAATACCTTTCACAATAGCTAATCACAAGATTAAATACTTGGGAATAAATTTAACCAGAAGTACAAAGGACCTTTTCCAAGAAAATTACAAAACATTACTACAAGAAACAAAAAGAGATCTTGAAAAGTGGAAGAATATCCCTTGCTCATGGATAGGAAGACTCAATGTTGTGAAAATGGCAATACTACCAAAAGCAATTTACACATTTAATGCAATCCCAATACAAATACCAACCCCATTCTTCAACGAGATGGAAAAGGCAATCTCCAATTTCGTATGGAATGGAAAAAAGCCCCGAATAAGCAAAGCACTCCTTAAGAATAGAAGAACGGTAGGAGGTATCTCACTCCCTGATTTCAAATCCTACTACACTGCCATAGTGGTAAAGACAGCATGGTACTGGTACAATGACAGACACATAGATCAATGGAATCGAATTGAGAATCCAGAGATCAACCCATCTATCTATGGTCAACTGATCTTTGACAAGGAGATGAAATCAGTGAAGTGGGGGAACGACAGCCTTTTTAACAAATGGTGTTGGCAAAATTGGAAAAATATCTGCAAAAGACTCAAGAAAGACCCACACCTCACTCCATACACAAAAACCAACTCAAGGTGGATCATGGGCCTAGGACTAAAACCAAGGACTATAAAATTCATTACAGAAAAGCTAGGAACAACACTAGAAGTCCTAATCCACAACATAAACAGTCTTCCCAGTATCCTGGAAAAGCTACAACCAGGAGAAGATAACATAGATGAATGGGACCTTCTAAGACTCAAATCCCTATGCACATCCAAAAACTTCTCCAGTAGGGTAAAAAGGGAAGCCACTGACTGGGAAAAAGTATTCGGTAATAACATATCAGATAAGGGACTTATATCCAGAATTTATGAAATACTTGAGCACCACAACAAGATAAAAGGTAAATAATCCAATAGAAAAATGGGCACAGGATATGAACAGGCACTTCACCGAAGACGACATTCAGATGGCTAACAAACACATGAAGAAATGCTCTTTTGTTCAAATGTTTTTAATTACTGGAATGCACAAGTATGCAAATAAAGTTTTTAAACCTGGGGGGAAATCATCTTCGATGAGGGTCATATTTAATGGTGTCCAGCAAAGTGTACTGAGTTCTGACATCAGAGTACAGATCCAGTCATTCTCACATTTCATGTCAAAGAACAGATTAAGATCCTAGTATCCAGAGTGGACATAATTGAGGTAAGCAGAATTCCTCATAGACTCCTGTCTTATTAAGTCTTGTTTCTTCTATCAGGAATTCTTCCTGTGACACTTTCTCAGTATTCCCTAAGTAGTTATCTAGATTTGGCTGACAATTTATACAACTACATATAATAAACATATCCCAACAGATGTTGTATTTATAGACATTTACTATTTGGAAAGCTACGCATTTTTCTCTGGTATGATTTCACAGTTGACCTTCATTGTCTAGTGGTTTGCATTAGTTGCCATTTTTAAAACTTTTAGCTGTCTATACACATGTTTATTAAAGTATCTTCACCATGGGTGAGTTCAGTAGGTGTAAGAGGTGTCTTGGGGCCACGGTCTCTGGCCAAGAGTCTGGTCTTTTTTATGGTTTTGAATTTTGGTCTACATTTTCTTTCTTCTCTACCCAGGACTTTCCACTGTGATTCTGATCAGAATGGCCAGTAATGGTCTCTGGGCATCGTCCAGTTGTTCTGGTCTCATGGGAATGAAGGTGTTTTGGTGGGGGTGGCTATTAATTTTACTAAACATTTAGTCTTTGCAATCACTTGTTATGCATCAGCAACTTGGACAATGTCTAAGGAGGATAGAAGGAGAATTGATGCCTTTGACCTGTGGTGCTGGAGAAGAGTATTGAGTGTGCCATGGACTGCCAAGAAAACAAACAGATTCACCCTGGAGAGGGTTAAACCAGGCTTCTCCTTGGAGGTAAGGATTCTGGGGCTTCATAACACATACTCTGGACATGTTGTAAGGAAGGGCCGGTCCTTGGAGAGGACATCATGCTTGGGAGGGTGGAGGGACGGCGCAAGAGGGGAAGACCCTCTATGAGGTGGATTGATTCAGTGACTGGGGTAACGGGATGAGTGTGTCAGAGACAGTGCGATTGGCACAGGATAAATCACGGTTTAGGACTCTTGTACATAGGGTCACTGTGAGTCACAAGCGACTCAACGGCACATAACAACAACAAACATTTACAGAGATTTTGGATTTCCACTCATTCATGGTTGCATTTTTCTCCCTGCCCCACTCCTCCCCCGCCCCAGTTCTTTCTTTGAAAAGTAAAATTCCTTCATTGCTATACAATTCCTCCCCTCCCGCCCCGAGTACACTCCACTATGCAATCTTCATTCTGGACTCTTGTCATAACAATAATACCCAATCATAGAGGAAATGAAGATTTTTTTACTCATTCGCATGATCCTTTAGTCTTTAGACTAATCTTTTCCTGAGTCACTTTAAGCAAAAACAATAACACGGCTTTCAAGTGAATAATAACACCTGTGAATAACAACAGGCTCCTCAAATCAACCATGTGGAGAAAGTCAAACAGGCCAAGGGAGCTATTTTGACAATCAGCGCGTTGAACCACAGTGTTGGACACACCATGGACTGCCAAGATACCACACAAACCTGTCCTCGAAGAAGTGTGTTAAGGTGCGTCTTGGAGGCACGAAACGACTTGTGAAACAACTTGTCACATAATTTGGGCGTGTTATCAGGAAGGGTCACTCCTTGGACAAGGACGTCATGCTCGGAAAAGTGAAGGACAGGAAGACCCTCAAGGGCATGAGTTGACAGTGAGTGACTCCAACAATGGCCTCTAGCACAGTGGAGGTTGTGAAGATGGCTGGAGGCAGGCCAAGGTTTTCACAGAGTCGCAGGAGGTGGAGTTCACTCACAGCAGCAGCTTACAATAAAATGATAGTTGAACATTCGCTGTCAATGGCTACACGTGCCATGCTCCCCAGATTCCGATAATTAGATCTGTTTTCTAAGGGAAGGATCATGTGAACTTTATAATCTGTCAATAATCACACAATTCTTTTTCTTTTACCAGGTTTTATTAAAACAAGATTTACGTATGAGTCTAAGCGTATCCTCCAAGTTTTTACGTTGTTAAGCAGAACCCTCGTTTCTTTTCCTCTGCTGACTAATATGTTTAAATTCAGCAAGTTGACACATCCGATCTGAGGTCAAGTATGTAGTTTAAAAAAATATATATATATACATTTATTCTTCAACAAGCTTAAAATTGTAAGCCTTGCTGACACTTCCCTTGGAGTTATTCTTAGAGTAGTTCTCAATATCCAAAACCACTATGCTTGAATTTTAAATCTCCCTGTTACCATAAATGAGAATTATGTAATCCAGCATGTTCCTCTCTGCCTTTCCCGTTCCAGAAACCTAGAAGTTAATCCATGTTGTGTTCCTGTCTACTAAAGCCAGTGTATCTACTTCTTCAACTCTATTGAGATGAAGCTTTATATTTGAATAGCTCTCCCCTATCACATTAAGTTTGCACCTGGTAGTCATGTCTTTGGGCTTCATCTTAAGCACCTTGTTAATGTTATCTTCAATAAAAATGTTTTCAATGTGTAATCTATACACTTCCTGTTAACGATGGGACAGGAAGCACCCAAGATACTGAGAGGTAAGATGTTAAAGGGGAACCATAATGTCATAAGCTTAATATCGCTCAGTTGAAAAATCATAGCCCTCCCCCCAAAATTTACCTTCTCTCAACCCAACCCCAAACTCAATTTCCGCTTTCTTTTTTTTTTTTTTTTTTCAATTTCCGCTTTCTAAATTCCATGGTTTCTGAATGGCCTAGTGGATAAGGATAAGGACGTGGGCTGGCAACCCAAAGACAGGTGGTTCAAATCCACCAGCTGCTCCTGAGGAGAAAGATGGACAATCTCCTCCTATAAAATTTACAGCCTCTGGAGGGTCAGCTATGAGTTGGTTCCAACTTGATGGCATTCAACAGTAATAATATAATCTATCCTGAAAAGACAATTATAAATGTTTCTAGCAGTGCAATTATCTATATGTAAGGAGCTACTTCAACTATAATTGTCTTTGTAAGCCTTCCTTTAAGTGGGTTAGCAATGCCACAACTTTCAAAACACCATTTGGTATGGGAGAGTATTCTTGTATTTTAAATAAAGAAATATAGATTCAAAGAAGGTGAGTGTACTGACACATAAAAAATATTAAAAATTAAACCAGCTTGGAATCTCCAGAGTTAGTCTATGGCAGAAATTATTTGATCACCAAAATGCTTCTCCTCTTCCCCCCCTCTCTCTCATTGGATTGTGGCTGGACATTTGGGCTAACTAGATAGGAAATGTTTTTATACCCTTGCAATTAGAAATAGCTTTGTGACTAAGCTCTCACCAATGGGAGTGAGTGGAAATAAGGATGGCTTGATATAGTCAAGGAGCTTTAAGGCACAGGTGTGCCTCATCCTTTTAAATATCCCAGACAAGGAGAGTGGTCTACCCACCTTCATTTTCATTGCTTCTTCCAACACTTGAGGGAAAAGGTCCGGACCAGGGCGCCCTTCACCTCTTTATTCCGAAGACTGTAGATGAGAGGATTGAGCATAGGCGTGACGATGGAGTAGAAGACAGAAATCACCTTGTTGAAGTTGATGGACGAGGCCACCTTGGTGCGGACGTACATAAAGAAGAGCGTGCCGTAGAAGATGCTCACCACAGTCAGATGAGCCGCACACGTGGAGAAGGCCTTCCGGCGCTCCGTAGCTGACCTCATGTGTAGCAGCATCCAGACAATGTTGCCGTAGGACACAGCAATGACCGTGGAGGAGACCAGGAGGACAGCCAAAGAAACGAGGAAATCCGCCGTCTCCTTGAGGGTGACGTCTGAGCACGACAGGGCTAGTAGAGGAGAGGCGTCGCAGAAGAAATGGTCAACAACATTGGGACCACAAAATATCAGCTGGGACATGAGGTAGATGGGCAACACGGGGGTGAGAAAGCCCATCAGCCAGCACGCAGCTGCCAGGCGCACGCAGGTGCCCCAGGACACCAAGGCCCCGTAGCGGAGAGGCATGCAAATGGCCACGTAGCGGTCATAGGCCATGGCGGCCAGCAGGAAGCACTCTGTTGCTCCAAGGAAGGTAAAGATGAAGAGTTGAGACAGGCAGCCGGCATACGAGATGGTCTTGCCCCCATCCGCCCCAATAAAGCCAGCCAGCATCTTGGGCACGGTGACTGAGGTATACAAGATTTCAAGGCAAGACAAGTGTGTCAGGAAGAAGTACATAGGTCTCTGCAGCCGGTGGTCCAGACATACCACCAAGATGATGGCCAAGTTCTCCAACAAGGTGAACAAGTACATGGTGAGGAAGAGGAGGAAGAAGAGGACCCGTGTTTCCTGGACCCCAGTGAAGCCCACCATGACAAACTCTGTCACCTGGGTCCTGTTTGGAGCATATGGCTGCATGTGTGGGACTGAGAAGTCAGTAGACGCATAGCCTCGTGGACAATGAATTCTCTGCGTGAGGATGTTGGATCGAAAGGCTTCTCACTTGCGAAGAGGAGAATGAAGTCAGGACATTTCCCTGACCTCCGGAAACTTGCACTCTGTGAGCAACTCGTGCAAGCAGATAATGTCAGCACACAAAGAAAAGTCCTGGGTAGGAATAAGATAGAATACTAAGGGAGAAAACTACAGCACACAACTCTGGTCAGAAAGAATCAGAGAACTCACTCTTCAGAAGGGCTGTCTAAGCTGGAACCTGAAAAAAACAAGTGCAAGGAAGATGAATTCATTGTGGTGGTGGTGGTTGTCCTGGTGGCCTAAAGGTAAGGAGCTGCACTGCAATCCCAAAGGCACACAGTTCAAATCCTCCAGATGCTCCGAGGGAGATAGATAGGCATTCTCCTCCCATGTGATTAAAACTGCCTCTGGAAACCCACTTGGGGGTCAGTTCTGATTCAACGATACACAACAATAAACAACATTGCTGCTGTTAGGTGCCACTGAGTCAAGAACAACTCATAGTGACTCTGTGAGCAACAAACCCTGTCCTACCCCGACATACTTGAGCCTGTTACCATACTCACTGTGTCAATTCATCTTATTGAGGGTCTTCCTCTCTTTCACTGACCTATCACCTTTCCAAGCCTCATGTCCCTCTCCAAGGAATAATCTCTCCTAACAACATGCCCAAAGTGTGTGAGGTGAAGCTTCATCATCCTTGCCTCTAACTGTAGTGGTGGTTCTTGTTATGAGACATCGAGTCAGATCAACCCACAGCTGACACAACCCATAGCCAGTTTTCAAAGGCAGTTTTAATTGCACAGGAGAAGAGTGTCTGTATTTCTCCCTCATAGCAGCTGATGGATTTGAATTGCATGCCTTCAAGTTGACACCATAACTCCTTATTACTAGGCCAATCAGAGGTCCTCGCCTCTCTCTACTAGTAAGAATAAAATCCCAAGCACCAGAGAGACGTTCTCTACAAGTAAGAATAAAATCCCAAGCACCAGAGAGACATTTTGAATTTAGGGAACAAGTAGAAATTGTTTGCCATGTAAATAATAGATTGGCTTTTTTTTTTTTCATCAAGCATAAGCACCTCTGGCTTCAAATTTATTAACAGAATCTAAGTAGCAATTATTGTGAGAATTTGCATTAGTTAATTCCTTTACAGCACTCACTGGTGGCCTAGTGACAAGAGGCTGCACTGCAATACTGAAGGCACACAGTTCCAATCTACCAGCTGCTCTGCAGAAGAATGATGGGCAATCTCCTCCCCTGCGATTAACTACTTCTGAAAACCCACGGAATTTAAAATGTCCAACTACATCTATTTGTGGGACAGGAAGGTCCACAGGAAGGCACAAGAATCGAATGGTGAAGACTTGAGTACTTACAGCAGACTTTGTTGATATTGTCAATGTTAATTGCTCTTGAGTCAATCCCGACTCATGAGGACCCCATACGTTCACAGCAGAACTGACCCTGCCTTCTGATGTCCTGTGAATGGGTTCGAACCACCAACCTTTCAACTAGTCATTGAGTACTTAGCTTTTTGCATGACTCAGAGACTCTAAGCGTTGAAGTCGTAGAAACAAATATCTCAGAGGCCAGCTAAAAAGAACTGGAGGGTTAAACCTAATGCAATGAATTTCTGAGTGAATTATAGAAGTCATCAGACACAAGTTTAATGAAGAATGCTTTCTGGACAAGAATTTCTTGTCAAAATCCTAGTCTTCTCTGCTTTCAGGCAGACACGTCTCCATGCAAGATGGGAGTGTTTTGTAAGTACTTCCCACGGGCCAGATTCTGCGAGGCTTCTATTATCTCATTTCATCTTCACTACGCTCCTGAGACCTCACCTTAATGTGGCTATTATCTGTCCTGGTTTTCAGGCAATTGAGAAAGCTGAGGCTGGAGACAGGAAGTGGCCTGTAGAAGATCAGAACCAGAGCAGAGCAAGATACAAACCCCAGTGCAACTGGAGTCAAAGTCTGCGTCCCCCTCGCACTCTGCCACCTCCCTCCATCATCCCGTTTCATTTGAGGACATATTTGCAACCCTGACTCCTGGCCCTGGCTGGGAGGTCGATTTCTCTGTCACATTGGATCCTGCTGAAAGGAACTCCCAGCACCCCAGCAACCTACAGGGGCTCAGTAAGACTCCCAGACTTATGAATGGTATCCGCTTGCTCTTAGACCTCATCCACCAAGTGCAGTGAAGGACAGAAGAGAAGGTCATGCAAGAAGGTCACTGAGTGAACAAAGAAGCTGCCCAGGAAGCTGGCCCAATTAGGTGGCCTGAAAACATGATGCTCCCTGGGCTAAGAAAACAGATTTTCCAGGGGAGCTCTGGTGGCCTAGTGGTAAGGAGCTGCAACTACAATCCCAGAGGTGCACGGTTCGAATCCACCAGATGCTCTGCCGGGGAAGGAGGGAAAATCTCCTCCTGTACCAGTCAGATCTGATTTGACGGCACACTCACAAAAATAATAAAATAAAATTAAAAAAAAAGAAAGAAAACAGATTTTCCTTAACAAATATGAGAGAAACAGTTTGAGGCAGTTTGGGGGAAATTAAACCTTGATTCCTACAGCTATTTGCTTGGGTTGTTCATGAGAGCAAGGTAGTTGCAAGAAGCTCGATTTTTCCTGGTCAGTTCTTTCCAGCTGGCCTCTGAGACGCTGGTTGCTGAGGGTGAGAGGAGTTGGAAGGTGACAGATAATGATTTCAGAAAACGGTCACCTGAAACAATGAAGGAATGGAAATCCAAGGGCTCTGTAAACTTTCATTACAATTAATTTAAAAATTTTGAAAAATAAATATGTTTTGAAGAAAGTGAAAAAATAAAAACAACCCAGTCACCAAACAGAGCTTGGTAGGCAATGGCAGATGGGTACAGGAAGTGCAAACGAAGGGACAACAAGAGGCCCAGAGGTAGAAACCTGGAGTCCTGCTCTGACTGTACTTGGTAATGTCCTGCCTGCCTGCCCCCCACCTCATTGTGATAAAGACAGTGGTATCTCACTTTCCGGGATATAGAATCCATAAAGCTACTTGACACAGGCTCCATCAATTACCAGACCTATTCCGTACAGACATGGTCAGGTTCCAAAGACCACATGGTTATATTAAATATGCAGGGGCATGGCTTGTCTCCATCACTGGCATCTCCTGACCTTACCCACTGTCACTCACTGCCCCGCTCAGTAACCCAGCCTGTCAGAGTGTGCATGGAACAGTAGACTTTCCTTCCCGACCACGCCATCGTCACCACCACAGAGCCCAAGGAGGCTTGCAGGAGGAGGGTCACGTGTTGCTCACCACCCACTATGGGTAGAAACCACACCTGTCCTCTCTTAGTCCTACTCCCACAGCAACATACCACACACACACATACACACTTCTTCCCTCTTCCCGACTTCCTGCCTCCCCTCACCAACCTTCCATGCACCCTCCTACTCTCACCCCGCCTCCTGCTGCCACTCCAGGACTTTGAATCAGCTCAGGACTGCCCCTCACCCTCTGTGACCTGGCTGGAACATTTCAGAGGACAGAGTGAAAGCGTCCCTTTCCAGATTGACCACCATCTCTTTTGTATCCCTGTCACTGCCCTGGTCATTGTATGCTTAGTACATCGTTTAGGAAAATGGAGAGTACCTGGGCCAGCCAGGGCTGTGTGAGGCTGTTGGCTCCAGTGCAGCCTGAGAATGTTTTCAAAGTTGCCTGAAGTACAAAACGTCAGATAAGATAACTGGAGTAGGAGTTTCTGTGCTGTGGAGAAAGTCTGCTTGCCGAGCCTCAGTTTTCCTATCTTTAAATGGGGAGGGTAGGAGGGACACCTGCAGGGGAAAAGTTCACACCCAGAGAGACTCCTGCCTGGATGGGTAAGTCCTAAGTTCAGTAAAGAGAAAGGCAATATACCACACAGAATTGATCAGACTTTCAGTTAACTAGATTAATCAACTGTGATTCATTTTTCCAAAACAAAATGTATATGAATGATTGATTGAAAAATCATTATGATCTATAAGACTTCACTTAATTTTTTTATGAAAAAACAACTTTAAACCAAAAATATGTAAACCAACATTTTAAAGGAAGAAGCAAACAGGAATGAAGAAGAAAGCGTTAGGGGAAGTTCAGAGCGCTTGTTCTTGTTTGCTCTGCAGGAAGCGTGGCTTCCTCTGTCTGATCCTTCAGCTTTCTGCTCTAGGCCACCTTAACCGAGAGACCTTCTCTACTCATGTACTGAAAAGTCAACTCTCATCACTCTCTGATTTTCTTTGGCTTGACTTTGTCACAGCTTCATTGTGATGTTAGGTAATTCTTTTGTTTCCTGATAAGTCTTTCTCTCCCTCTTCCTCTTTCACTCTCTTTCTCCCTCACACACCTAGAGTCCCTTGGATGCAATGTCTATGTATATTTATATCTGTTTTTCCAGTCACCAGCATGTCATGTGCATGCACTCCATACATTTGTGCAATTTTAAAAATAAAAATGATACATGCCTCTAACAAAGTACAGATCAGAGTAGCCAGGGCACTCAGTTACTCACGTTTCAAGGAAAGAGAAGGGAAGGAGGCCCACCAGTACTTGGAGCATTAAAATCCATGCACCTGTTTTTCTATTCAGTTCCAATTCTGATGATGCCTGAAGCAAGAGATGAGACTTTGTCTACCTGGAGAGCACAGTTTCCCTAGCCTTGGGTAAGAACCAAGTCAAATTGATTTTAGGTACAATTCCTTTTTTCTTAGTCACTGAATTTAATTTTAAAGTTTCTAAAACGCTGTACTTTACAAGAGGCTTTCAAACTATACTCCGTAAGCCTTACATTTTTCCTCAGTTCCCAGGTAGCTGAGAAGGGTTAGAAAGGGGCTTCACATGCACTGTCCACACAAGCCTTGCTTCAACCAGACAAGCCGTGGCAGAATCTGAATGAGAATATAGGCCTGTCTGACT